ACCTTGACACGTCAGGTCAGTCGTAACCTCGACACGTCAGGTCAGTCGTAACCTTGACACGTCAGGTCAGTCGTAACCTTGACACGTCAGGTCAGTCGTAACCTTGACACGTCAGGTCACCAGTAACCTTGACACGTCAGGTCACCAGTAACCTTGACACGTCAGGTCAGTCGTAACCTTGACACGTCAGGTCAGTCGTAACCTTGACACGTCAGGTCAGTCGTAACCTTGACACGTCAGGTCACCAGTAACCTTGACACGTCAGGTCAGTCGTAACCTTGACACGTCAGGTCAGTCGTAACCTTGACACGTCAGGTCAGTCGTAACCTTGACACGTCAGGTCAGTCGTAACCTTGACACGTCAGGTCACCAGTAACCTTGACACGTCAGGTCAGTCGTAACCTTGACACGTCAGGTCAGTCGTAACCTTGACACGTCAGGTCACCAGTAACCTTGACACGTCAGGTCAGTCGTAACCTTGACACGTCAGGTCACCAGTAACCTTGACACGTCAGGTCACCAGTAACCTTGACACGTCAGGTCACCAGTAACCTTGACACGTCAGGTCAGTCGTAACCTTGACACGTCAGGTCACCAGTAACCTTGACACGTCAGGTCACCAGTAACCTTGACACGTCAGGTCACCAGTAACCTTGACACGTCAGGTCAGTCGTAACCAAGATATTACCGGAAGTTATCGCTAATATAAAAATATATGATAATATTCCAGTTTAGTCTCAACATTGTTATTATTATTAGTGTTTTACTTATATGTAGAGTTGACTCGTGTATTATTTCTGTTGTGTCTTGTTATTTAGAGGATTTCTCGGCTCTCTCTCTCTCTCTCTCTCTCTCTCTCTCTCTCTCTCTTTCTCTCCCCCTCCATGTATCTCTCTCACTGCCTCTGTGTGAAGCTTCCTCTCTCTCTCTTTCTCTCTTTTTTCCCTGTCTCACAGTTTCAAGGCTCAACCTAACTTTAAATCTTCTCAGGGATATGTATATATATATATATATATATATATATATATATATAATATATATTTATATATATATATAATATATATTTATATATATATATATATATATATATATATATATATATATATATATATATATATATATATATATATATTTCTTGTGGTAGTAAATCGCCTATAATCTTGTTAATGGTAAAATATAACCATACGGTGTCTGTTTATTTTTTTTTGTAATAATCCAGGGGAGGGGGAGAAGGGGAAGGGAGGGGGAAGGGGAAGGGGGAGGGAGGGGGTGAAGGGGGGAGATCGAAAAGACAAAAAAAAGTTCATTGAAGAAAATCCGACAAGAGGATTAATGGACCTTAATGGAAACCCTAGAATATTTATTATTATTATTATTATTAATTATTATTATTAATTATTATTACTATTATTATTATTATTACTATTGTTATTATTACCTCCGTTACAACGTCCGTCGAGTATAAATACGTTTATGCAAATGAGGAATTTAATATGGAGACTAAAATCGTCTCTCTGTCTCTGTCTCTCTCTGTCTCTTACTGTCTCTGTTTCTCTCTGTCTCTTTCTGTCTTTGTCTGTCTCTGTCTCTTTCTCTGTCTCTCTCTGTCTCTTTCTGTCTTTGTCTGTCTCTGTCTCTTTCTCTGTCTCTCTCTCTGTCTCTCAGCGGGAACGCCGGAAAAAGCCAGCTTCTGACTAGCTGTCAGTAGCGACCCACACACATGTTTTAATGACCCACACACACACATGTTTTAATGACCCACACACACATGTTTTAATGACCCACACACATGTTTTAATGACCCACACACACACGTTTTAATGACCACACACACATGTTTTAATGACCACACACGTTTTAATGACCCACACACACACATGTTTTAATGACCCACACACATGTTTTAATGACCCACACACATGTTTTAATGACCACACACACATGTTTTAATGACCACACACACATGTTTTAATGACCACACACACATGTTTTAATGACCACACACGTTTTAATGACCCACACACACACATGTTTTAATGACCCACACACATGTTTTAATGACCACACACACATGTTTTAATGACCACACACACATGTTTTAATGACCACACACACATGTTTTAATGACCACACACACATGTTTTAATGACCACACACACATGTTTTAATGACCCACACACACACATGTTTTAATGACCCACACACATGTTTTAATGACCCACATACACACATGTTTTAATGACCACACACACATGTTTTAATGACCACACACACATGTTTTAATGACCCACACACACACACATGTTTTAATGACCACACACACATGTTTTAATGACCCACACACATGTTTTAATGACCCACACACGTTTTAATGACCACACACACATGTTTTAATGACCCACACACACATGTTTTAATGACACACACACACACACATGTTTTAATGACACACACACATTTTAACGGCCCACACACACATGTTTTAACGGCCCACACACACATGTTTTAACGACCCACACACACCTGTGGCTACACAATACCATCTTTGACATATGTTATATACCACTTGCATTGTTGATAATGGTATAAAATACTGACAAGTTGAAGATTAAGACACGTGCAACATTTGGGTATGTTTATTGATGACACGTTTCGCCTACACAGTAGACCTCTTCAGTCAAATATAAAGGCAGAAGTATTTGAGGTGGTCAGTCCCTCAGCCTGGAGAAGAGCTCTTCTCCAGACTTCATCACTAAAGACACTGTTGCACATGTGTCTTAATCCTCAACACATGTATTACACAGAGGGGGAGGGGGGTGTGAGGGGCGATTAACTTGTATATAAGTAGGTTTAAATCCTCTTGTTTGCGTTGTACTGGATCCGCCTGGGGATTACATTCTGAGGTATTTCTCCTCCGTAAGATACAAGGTGTGTTGGAACATGGAAGATGACATGACGCTGCTATAGTGTGACACCACAAGTCACAGTGTCACCTCCTTCAGTTTGGCACTATAAGTCACAGTGTCAGCCCCTTCAGTTTGGCACAACAAGTCACAGTGTCAGTCCCTTCACTTAGGCACTATAAGTCACAGTATCAGCCCCTTCAGTTTGGCACTATAAGTCACAGTGTCAGCCCCTTCAGTTTGGCACTATAAGTCACAGTATCAGCCCCTTCAGTTTGGCACTATAAGTCACAGTGTCAGCCCCTTCAGTTTGGCACTATAAGTCACAGTGTCAGCCCCTTCAGTTTGGCACTATAAGTCACAGTGTCAACCCCTTCAGTTTGGCACTATAAGTCACAGTGTCAACCCCTTCAGTTTGGCGCTATAAGTCACAGTGTCAGCCCCTTCAGTTTGGCACCACAAGTCACAGTTTCAGTCATTTCAGTTAGGCACTATAAGTCAGTGTCACCCCCTTCAGTTTGGCACTATAAGTCACAGTGTCAGCCCCTTCAATTTGACACCACGAGAGTCAGTGTCAGCTTCAATTTGGCACAACGAGAGTCACAGTGTCAGCTCCTTCAATTTGGCACTATAAGTCATAGTATCAGCTTCTTCAGTTAGGCACCACAAGTCACAGTGTCAGCATCTAACCGAGTTCGTGTAAATACCTGGTTCTACACTGTACCATACGACAGTGGTGGTTCTACACTGTACCATACGACAGTGGTGGTTCTACACTGTACCATACGACAGTGGTGGTTCTACACTGTACCATACGACAGTGGTGGTTCCATTTCAGCATCTTACAAGTTTATCAGTTCTCTCCCACTGACACACCACTGTCACCCACACAAAACACTGTTTTACACACACACACACACACACACACACACACACACACACACACACACACACACACACACACACACACACACACACACACACACACACACACACACACACACACACACATACACACACACACACACACACACACACACACACACACACACACACACACACACACACACACATACACACACACACACACACACACACACACACAGCTGAGCATTTGTAAAGTCGCAGTGGTCAGGTTGTCTTATTGTAACCACCATGGATATATGGAACAGTATATATTCTACTATTTACATCACCTGGCTTCGAATCCCTGTCCATTTGCGTGTGCGAGTACAGGGGAGCATTGTTACTGGTGTAGCCGGTGCTAGATACTTCCCTCCCACACCCTACCCTTCACACCCACACCACTCACCCACTACCCACCCACACCCTACCCTTCCCACCCACACCCTACCCTTCCCACCCACACCCTACCACCCTACCTTCCCACCCACACCCTACCCTTCCCACCCACACCCTACCCTTCCCACCCACAACCCCTCACCACCCTACCCTTCCCCCACCCCCCCACCACACCCTACCCTTCCCACCCACACCTACCTCCCCCACACCCTACCCTTCCCACCCACACCCTACCCTTCCCACCCACACCCTACCCTTCCCCCACACCTACCTACCCACCCTACCCTTCACCCACACCCTACCCTTCACACCCCACCCTACCTCACCACCCTACCCTTCCACCCACACCCTACCCTTCACCCACACTCTACCCTTCCCACCCACACCCACCCTTCCCACCCACACCCTACCCTTCACACCACACCCTACCCTTCCACCCAGACCTACCCTTCCCACCACACTTCCCTTCACACCACGCCCTACCCTTCACACCCACACTCTACCCTTCCCACCCACACCCACCCTTCCCACCCACACCCTACCCTTCCATCCAACACCCTACCCTTCCACCCACCCTACCCTTCCCACCACACCCAACCTTCCCACCCACACCCTACCCTTCCACGAATACCCTACCCTTCCCACCCACACCCTACCCTTCCCACCACACCAACCCTTCTCACCCACACCATACCCTTCCACCACCTTCCCACCCACACCCTAATCTTCCCACCCACACCCAACCCTTCCCTCCCACACCCAACCCTTCTCACCCACACCCAACCCTTCCTTCCTAACTTATAACCGTAATTTTTAAAGGGGTGGAGGGGTGAGCCAGCGGAAGGCCTCGGTCAAATGACCAAAAGCTCTAGCTGCATCATGAAACACTTGTCTTGTTTCCTAACAAACCTGACCTAACCTAACCTTTCTTCCTACATATTTGTCAAACCCATTTTCAAGCCATAACTAAACTATTCCCTTCGCTGATTCTACTTATCACGTAGTTCCACTCATTACTTAAGTGGTTGGCACTGCAGATGCAATGATCAAAGTCGTTTTATATAAAAAACTCACTCTCCGTTGGTCAGCAACCTTATTAAAAATATAAATAGGTCTGAAAGAGGTCAACTTAATGTTGACTTCACCATTAACTTTCTGGGCCTGACCACAGCTTCTGGCTACAGCACTGTGTTAAGTGGCTCCAAAATTCCCACTATAAACACACGAAAAAATAAACTCGACGCTCTATGTATGGAAAAGATATCGTTCTGCTGTTCCTCTTGTTCACCTGTGGTGAACGACCCATACTAAGATATAGTGGAGATTCCCCTGACTCTGTCAAGGCTGAGTGTTACCCTGAAGATCACAGCTGGTCTGATGTGTTACTGGGGCAGGTGTTGTGAAGATCACAGCTGGTCTGATGTGTTACTGGGGCAGGTGTTCGGAAGATCACAGCTGGTCTGATGTGTTACTGGGGCAGGTGTTGTGAAGGTCACAGCTGGTCTGATGTGTTACTGGGGCAGGTGTTGTGAAGATCACAGCTGGTCTGACGTGTTACTGGGGCAGGTGTTGTGAAGATCACAGCTGGTCTGATGTGTTACTAGGGCAGGTGTTGTGAAGATCACAGCTGGTCTGATGTGTTACTGGGGCAGGTGTTGTGAAGATCACAGCTGGTCTGATGTGTTACTGGGGCAGGTGTTGTGAAGATCACAGCTGGTCTGATGTGTTACTGGGGCAGGTGTTGTGAAGATCACAGCTGGTCTGATGTGTTACTAGGGCAGGTGTTGTGAAGATCACAGCTGGTCTGATGTGTTACTAGGGCAGGTGTTGTGAAGATCACAGCTGGTCTGATGTGTTACTGGGGCAGGTGTTGTGAAGATCACAGCTGGTCTGATGTGTTACTGGGGCAGGTGTTGTGAAGATCACAGCTGGTCTGATGTGTTACTGGGGCAGGTGTTGTGAAGATCACAGCTGGTCTGATGTGTTACTAGGGCAGGTGTTGTGAAGATCACAGCTGGTCTGATGTGTTACTAGGGCAGGTGTTGTGAAGATCACAGCTGGTCTGACGTGTTACTGGGGCAGGTGTTGTGAAGATCACAGCTGGTCTGACGTGTTACTAACGTAGGTGCTATTACTGTCATCTTGTGCTTGTTACCGACCAGCTTCCCGTGTGTGTCTCTGGTATACGTCTGTGTGTCTGCTTCAATGCGCACGAAGATGCATAGAATGTATAAACGCGCGCACGGGCATATGCATACACACACACATGAAGATAGGCGTACACACAGGTATACACACACACACACACACACACATTCTTATACACCTAATCCCTTATACACACAAACACATATACTAGTGCCCCCGATCACATACAAACACACATACACTCCTAACATACACCCGGGCATACTCAGCTCGTGTGACATACACCAGTCACTTTCCACGTCAGTATTTTAATTTTTTTTGATATTTTCCCCTAAGAACGCCTGTTTTTTTTATAAATATTATTTAATTTATAGGTTTGGTCATCAGTTTTTTCTATGAGTCAAGACATAGAAAATTCTTAACTTGTTTCGTAACCCAAAATAATGTAGATAATCTGTGAAAAATAATTTTATTTTTGTTACCCCTCCAGACCCGGCTGGTGTTCCAGTGTGATGGAATGGTGAGTTGAGGCGAACTGTGGATACTGAATACATATTCTGATATGATGGATCGAATGTTGAGCGTAAAAACGTTGTTCGTATGAGTGAAGTCTTACTGATATGTGAGCGAAACGTGAGTCAGATTTGTTAGACTGTTTAAGGTCTTGTTAACGTTTTGAATCATCAGGTTCAGTCAGGGAAAAATGTAAACTGAACGTGACTGATTGTCTGCTCTCTGACCTGCTTTATACAAGCAATACCTGGGGCCTGTTTAGTAGGGTTGCTGTTACCTGCGTCAGCGTCAAGCAACACTGTGCAACCTTCTCAATTTCTGTGCTCCAGAGCCTAAGGTGTTGAAGAATGTGATCCATTGCGTTTTATAGGGTAAGGAAAGGTATAACAATGTGATTCGTAAGTGGTAGGTAGCCTACATAAAGTGTTGCAGCATTTGTGTAGTGAGCAGTTCCAGAATTGTTTTTTTTTCGTTTTTAGTTCACAAATATTCTGCCTTAGACTGCGAACTAAGTAAAATGAAATTTTTGGATAAATCAGCTCTTCCTTTCGGTACTTTTCATGTTTCTCGTGGAAGTGAAGTGTCTGGGCACAGCAGTATGATGCAGTATGACCTGTGGCATGGCATCGAGTGCCCGTGGTGAGTGAAGTTGAAGCGAGGTACAGAGAAGATCATATGCTGGCCAGCCAGTGTAGGTGAAGAAGGAAGAGCAACTGGTAGGTGGCCCTTGCCAGGCGGCGAGTAAGACGTCCTCAGCTGTAGTATCCTCGCTGTACACCTTGCTTGCGACGACTGTGCCACTTGCAAGTTAAGATTCTAACGTAGGTCCTCCTGAAGGCGGCGTTACAGAGGGCGTAGCACATGGGGTTGATGGTGGAGTTGATGTAACATAAGTAGTAGGAAAAGTCCCACAACTGGCGGGGAATACAGTCGTCAGCTTTGCAAGCTAACACAGTCTTGAGGAGAACCAACACGTTGTAAGGTGTCCACGTCACAATGAACGTCAGTAAGATGGCCGACAGAGTCTTGGCTGCTTTACGATCTTGCTTCTTCTCTTGGCTCTTTTTCTTTTTCTTCTTCTTCCCTGGCACTGTTGCTCCGGCGTTGGTGCCAGCACCAGCGGCGCCTCCGCCAGAGTTGCCACTCCCGGTGCCAGAGTTCTTGGCCAGTTGCTTCGGAATGATTTTGGCATTGAGGGGAATCTTAATATCAGGGGCATGGGACGTTCTGCGATTAGGGGTCGGGGAAGTACCTTCAGGTCCCCCCGGGTGCAGGGAACACTCCACTCTGGTAGACTGTCCGCTGGGGTCTGAACAGACGGAGTCCCCCCGGCGGGCAAGAGGGGACGTCCCCCTGTCAAACCTCAATCTGTGACCCGCGTTAGTCCCGCTCCCATCCTGCCCTTCCTCCTCGATCATGAGGATGGAGGGAGGGTTGAGAGGACCGTCTTGTGACGGGTCATGAGGAAGGCGGATCAAGATGGTATAAACGGAGTCTGAGGAGTGAGAGCGAGCCTGTAGACGTCCTCCCAACATCTGGTTGCGCCCCGCAGCTCCCACTCCTAAGGTACTCTCTGCCCGCGGGAGTGTGGCGGAGGTACCATGGTGGTGATGGTAGGTATGGTGGTCGGGTCGCTCGGCCCTCTCCACTAGAGGAATCATGGAATTCTGGCGATACCTGGTCGGTGTGACGGTGAGAGGCTCGCGGATGTAGTTAAGAGAGGTACAGCGAGACACTGACGATGGCAGGGTAGTCTCCGTGGAGCCTGGCGTGTTGTAACCCGGGGTATGGTACCCGGGAGTGTGGTACCCAGAGGTACTGAACCCTGAACGATGTCCACCGGCTTGACTACTTGCATCATCTCGGTCCACTGTGCGCTTAATGCAGGACGCTAATCCGCGGCAGCAGCCGGCACTACCAGACCGACCCTGCAGAGACACAGTAAAGTAGACAAACCACACATAACATTAATTACAAACCAGATAAACCTTGTTTTAATACACATAATGACTACACCTACAATTATCATTCATTACTGGTTAATGGAAGTGAAAGCGTAAATATACTACTAACAGATCATTAATGCTGCTTGTAACTTGCTCACCACCAGTCAAGAATATTTTAATTACGTATAATAGAGATAAAGAGAGAAATACGCCTATCAGTGTATATACCAGTATACTGATAAATTATTATTATTATTCTGGTTAATGTGGAGAGTACAAGTGGAAGGAGACTGTAGAACTCCACGTGACTCAACAGGCTACGGGAATATTAAAGATTAAAATGTATGGGTTAAACCAAGAACGAATTTAATCATTTGAAAGGTGATCTGTGAGAAATAAGGCCGTGTGGGAGGAGCAGACGTGAGAATGAAGATCATGGCTAATGAGGGAGTTTGAGATAATCAGTCCCTCATTCTTCTCCGTATTGGACTGAGGAAGTCACTGGTTGGCGAACCGCTTTCATACTAACGATACCCAAGTGTTGCTTAAGTGTCGGTTCTCTGAACCACTTATTTACCATCACAGTTAATGTGATAACAACACAAGATAACAGATATAAGAACGGTCTTTATAAATCTGCACCCAGAATCTTTCAAAAAAAAAAAAAAATCAGTCACAACACAGTATACGTAAACCCGATTCCAGTGTTTCCTACTTCAGAGTTGAGGCAATCTGTTAATTAACCATGTTTCTCCGTCGCTCTGGCCACAATTCGGGCGACGGGACGCTACACGGTTAATTTCATTCTTCCGGTGTTAACGTCAGCCACGACGAGCCGTGTTAATATCAGTGCGGCCACCTTAACAACACACGAGGAGGACAGATGTAATGTTACAGTGCTATGCTTCACTGTCACTAACTTGAAGGGAATGTTTTGAAGTCTGGCCAACCTGACCACAACGTACGAAGTCCTCCCAGATAAGGACGAAGTGAACGAAAGACAGAGAATTCAGTTTGGAAAGGACCTGCGAAATAAGAAAGAAATGAAAACAAAACAGCAAAATGAATTACATGTCCATAGATATTCTTTAAAATTTTGTCAGTGCAAGAAGAAAGATAAATAAAACAGAATAATAAAGTAGAGGAATAAAATAGTGAAATCAAATTAAATAGCGGACTAAATAACTGAGAGGCAGAGCAGGTGAAGTAGCAGGAAGTTAAGAGCCGGGCACAAGAGCTGGAGAACAACGATACAGTTTCAGATAAAAAAAATTCTTCAGAGATTTTGGGCTGAGGAATAAACTTGAAGCGACACACAACTCTGTAGTTGTATCAAATATTTCTCCAGCTGTCGGCTCAGTGGCGATTGTCTTGAGCAAGAGCTGGAGCCCAACATGAAGGGAGCACCTACCTGGGAAGCATACTTGGTGTTCTCGATGACCATGGCTGTGGGAACATACGTCGTTTCAATCTCATCCATAGCTGTTGAAGACTCTGATCTCTGCCTCCTCCAGTCCTCAGGCTCCACTACCTCCTCTGCCTCGCTGACAAGGGACCAGGGATAGTGTCCCACCCTTAGATTAGTACCTTACCAGACTGAGATCTTAAGGGGGAGAGGGAGGGAATGAAGGAGAGGAGGAGGAGGAGGAGGAGGAATGGGTGGAGATGGGAAGGGAGCCAAAGAGAGAGATGTGGGCAGGGCTGGTATATAGGGATACAGGGAACATGATCAGTGAGGGATACACAAGGTGTGGGAGAACATTTGCTACCTAGTAGTGCCTCTGGCTGGTGTTGCCAGGTTTATATCACGTGCATCTTCCTTTACACGGTTTTTATTTTCCATTTAGGCTTTATTACGGTGTTTATTTCTTCGTGGATGAAGCTTAGTTTATCGTTTATTAAAACAGTGGAAGTTTTACATGATTTTACATGAGGAAAAACCTGAGATTTGTTAAAGACAGATAAGTAATATGGAACTTTATATATAATGGGACACCGTGAAAACGTTCTTACTAGGCTAAATTATAATGTGAGTAATTTACTGATGACTTGCAAGTCTGATCAAGATTGTACATTTATTTTCCTGGCGTAGATTACTGGGGAAGGAAGAGCAGCACTGGTGTATCACTTCTAAACGTTCTGGAGGAAGCCAGGGGAAGTCTTATACCATCGTCAACAGATAAGAGAATCATCATGACAAGCAGTAATGGGGGAGGGGGGGAACTTTAATTAAAGACTCATAATGAAACAAGCGAGATGTGAGAAGAAATATTATGGAAATTGACTTGCCAGCTGCCACAGCCTCCATGACAACCATCCCTCTCCTCCCCACACATTCTCTCTCCTCAACAAGCAGCAGTAAACTGACCCAACAGTTTCCACTGGACTGCTGCTGCTGCTGCTGCTGCTGCTGCTGCTGCTGCTGCTGCTGCTGCTGCTGCTGCTGCTGTTCAGTCAGTATCCCCCAGAATTATTCCTGATATAATTACCTTGCTTTCTTCATTTATAACCACAAACTTAAGTTAAAATAAAAACGGAATTAAATATGGTCAAATGCAACTTAAGTTCTGATACAATATAAGGGATGAAGGTAGGGTCAAGGGATAAACTTATATATATACATATATATATATATATATATATATATATATATATATATATATATATATATATATATATATATATATATATATATATATATATATATATAATATATATATAATATATATAGTATTGAAACTTAAAGATTAGGACACTACAGTTATAATATAAAGTAACATGTATTAGACTTGCTTTTGTTAAGTCTTACAAGACATAAACAAGAGTTAAGATGAGAGCCACCAAGCAAGGCTTCCGGAGTCCAGGTCCCCTAACACTGACTAGCCTTGATAAACCAGGTTTTATTAAAAAAAACAACCTTGCAACAGCACGTTTCCAACAGTTCATTAATAAAAATCCGAAACATTGCATCGAAATTATTATTTATGTATTGGGAAAATTATTTTTTTGGTAAGAACAAAAATATCGAAAAGTCTTCAAAAAAAGTAACTTTGATGTAGTATAAGTAACTTTGATGTAGCGGTAAGTAACTTTGATGTAGTATAAGTAACTTTGATGTAGTATAAGTAACTTTGATGTAGTATAAGTAACTTTGATGTAGTATAAGTAACTTTGATGCAGTATAAGTAACTTTGATGTAGTATAAGTAACTTTGATGTAGTATAAGTAACTTTGATGTAGTATAAGTAACTTTGATGTAGTATAAGTAACTTTGATGTAGTATAAGTAACTTTGATGTAGTATAAGTAACTTTGATGCAGTATAAGTAACTTTGATGTAGTGTAAGTAACTTTGATGTAGTATAAGTAACTTTGATGTAGTATAAGTAACTTTGATGTAGCATAAGTAACTTTGATGTAGTATAAGTAACTTTGATACAGTATAAGTAACTTTGATGTAGCATAAGTAACTTTGATTTAGTATAAGTAACTTTGATGTAGCATAAGTAACTTTGATGTAGCATAAGAAACTTTGATGTAGTATAAGTAACTTTGATGTAGTATAAGTAACTTTGATGTAGTGTAAGTAACTTTGATGTAGTATAAGTAACTTTGATGTAGTATAAGTAACTTTGACGCAGTATAAGTAACTTTGACGCAGTATAAGTAACTTTGATGTAGTATAAGTAACTTTGATGTAGTATAAGTAACTTTGAAGCAGTATAAGTAACTTTGATGTAGTATAAGTAACTTAGACGCAGTATAAGTAACTTTGAGGCAGTATAAGTAACTTTGATGTAGTATAAGTAACTTTGACGCAGTATAAGTAACTTTGAAGCAGTATAAGTAACTTTGATGTAGTGTAAGTAACTTTGATGTAGTATAAGTAACTTTGATGTAGTATAAGTAACTTTGATGTAGCATAAGTAACTTTGATGTAGTATAAGTAACTTTGATACAGTATAAATAACTTTGATGTAGCATAAGTAACTTTGATTTAGTATAAGTAACTTTGATGTAGCATAAGTAACTTTGATGTAGCATAAGAAACTTTGATGTAGTATAAGTAACTTTGATGTAGTATAAGTAACTTTGATGTAGTGTAAGTAACTTTGATGTAGTATAAGTAACTTTGATGTAGTATAAGTAACTTTGACGCAGTATAAGTAACTTTGACGCAGTATAAGTAACTTTGATGTAGTATAAGTAACTTTGATGTAGTATAAGTAACTTTGAAGCAGTATAAGTAACTTTGATGTAGTATAAGTAACTTTGACGCAGTATAAGTAACTTTGAGGCAGTATAAGTAACTTTGAAGCAGTATAAGTAACTTTGATGTAGTGTAAGTAACTTTGACGCAGTATAAGTAACTTTGCAGCAGTATAAGTAACTTTGATGTAGTATAAGTAACTTTGAAGCAGTATAAGTAACTTTGATGTATAAAGTAACTTTGACGCAGTATAAGTAACTTTGAGCAGTATAAGTAACTTTGATGTAGTATAAGTAACTTTGACGCAGTATAAGTAACTTTGAGGCAGTATAAGTAACTTTGATGTAGTATAAGTAACTTTGACGCAGTATAAGTAACTTTGAAGCAGTATAAGTAACTTTGATGTAGTATAAGTAACTAACGAAGCCTCTGGTGCTGATACAGAATTTATTTATTTTTTAATTACTTCTGAATAACGTTGATTATAAGAACAGATTATAATTATGGACATATATAAGTTGATTCTATTTTTGCTCTCTTATGTTTGTATAATAACTATATTAATGAACGTAATGCTGTGATGTAGAGACTCACAGCCTCTGTACCTGGCTGTGATAGTTATTATCTGGCTGTGATAGTTATTATCTGGCTGTGATAGTTATTATCTGGCTGTGATAGTTATTATCTGGCTGTGATAGTTATTATCTGGCTGTGATAGTTATTATCTGGCTGTGATAGTTATTATCTGGCTGTGATAGTTATTATCTGGCTGTGATAGTTATTATCTGGCTGTGATAGTTATTATCTGGCTGTGATAGTTATTATCTGGCTGTGATAGTTATTATCTGGCTGTGATAGTTATTATCTGGCTGTGATAGTTATTATCTGGCTGTGATAGTTATTATCTGGCTGTGATAGTTATTATCTGGCTGTGATAGTTATTATCTGGTGTGATAGTTATTATCTGGCAGTGATAGTTATTATCTGGCTGTGGTAGTTATTATCTGGATGTGATAGTTATTATCTGGTGTGATAGTTATTATCTGGCTGTGATAGTTATTATCTGGCTGTGATAGTTATTATCTGGCTGTGATAGTTATTATCTGGCTGTGATAGTTATTATCTGGTGTGATAGTTATTATCTGGCAGTGATAGTTATTATCTGGCTGTGGTAGTTATTATCTGGATGTGATAGTTATTATCTGGTGTGATAGTTATTATCTGGCTGTGATAGTTATTATCTGGCTGTGATAGTTATTATCTGGCTGTGATAGTTATTATCTGCTGTGATAGTTATATCTGGCTGTGATATTATTATCTGGCTGTGATAGTTATTATCTGGTGTGATAGTTATTATCTGGCTGTGATAGTTATTATCTGGCTGTGATAGTTATTATCTGGCTGTGATAGTTATTATCTGGCTGTGATAGTTATTATCTGGCTGTGATAGTTATTATCTGGCTGTGATAGTTATTATCTGGTGTGATAGTTATTATCTGGCTGTGATAGTTATTATCTGGCTGTAATAGTTATTATCTGGCTGTGATAGTTATTATCTGGCTGTGATGTTATTATCTGGCTGTATAGTTATTATCTGGCTGTGATAGTTATTATCTGGCTGTGATAGTTATTATCTGGTGTGATAGTTATTATCTGGCAGTGATAGTTATTATCTGGCTGTGGTAGTTATTATCTGGATGTGATAGTTATTATCTGGTGTGATAGTTATTATCTGGCTGTGATAGTTATTATCTGGCTGTGATAGTTATTATCTGGCTGTGATAGTTATTATCTGGCTGTGATAGTTATTATCTGGTGTGATAGTTATTATCTGGCAGTGATAGTTATTATCTGGCTGTGGTAGTTATTATCTTGGACTGTGATAGTTATTATCTGGCTGTGATAGTTTATTATCTGGCTGTGATAGTTATTATCTGGCTGTGATAGTTATTATCTGGCTGTGATAGTTATTATCTGGCTGTGATAGTTATTATCTGGCTGTGATAGTTATTATCTGGCTGTGATAGTTATTATCTGGCTGTGATAGTTATTATCTGGCAGTGATAGTTATTATCTGGCTGTGGTAGTTATTATCTGGATGTGATAGTTATTATCTGGTGTGATAGTTATTATCTGGCTGTGATAGTTATTATCTGGCTGTGATAGTTATTATCTGGCTGTGATAGTTATTATCTGGCTGTGATAGTTATTATCTGGCTGTGATAGTTATTATCTGGCTGTGATAGTTATTATCTGGCTGTGATAGTTATTATCTGGCTAGTGATAGTTATTATCTGGCTGTGATAGTTATTATCTGGCTGTGATAGTTATTATC